GTATGCTGCGGCATTATCCAGACGAGGGGCAACTTTCCGTTGCCATGAGTCGCCATTCAAACAAGGGGCAACTTTCCGTTGCCGTGCAGCGTTGTTCAAGCAAGGGGCAATTTTCCATTGAGGCCATCATGCTCAAAGCTTTTAAGCTAAAATACAAAGCAACCCTAACAAACATGTCAAGCATGACTAAATGGATAACCAATAAACCTTAAGCATGGAAAAACATCACTAAGAACTTCATGGAACTAAACTAACTCTCACAAGAATCATGGCCTAATCATGAGATGTATTTCTAAGCAAGATGGAGCAATACAAAGCAAGTATTACAAGCATACAAGGAGGCCCAAATCCGACCAAAAACAGAGGTTATATATGACCTAAGATACCTAAAAAAATACTGAAATGAAGCCAAGAAACAACAAGCACACATGCTATCCTTTTGAGCCCAAAAAGCAAGGAAACAAAACCATAAAGGGAGAGGGGTGTCCCTCCCCTATGCAAGACTTCAAACCAACTTTTTAAACACCAAAAATGAACTGGTTTTTAGTGATGAAAAGATCAAAATGCTGAAGTGAACAAAACCTTATCAAAATGGCACCAAAATAGGCTAAACAAGGCCTAAGAGGGTGAGTTTGCAATCTAACCACAAAGAGACCTCAATGAAAGTGTTAGAGCAGGAAAATATGAGAAAAACTTAGGTTAATGCAATGAGTTTGGCGCGCAGGAGAGCAGGCGAGATGTACTGTCAGCCCAATCAAATTCTCTGGCACTTATGCTGAAAGCAAGCATGGAGTTTGAGATAGAAACAGCTGTTTTGATCGGCTTTGTTGGTGCAACTGGCCCCTCGGATGCTCACCCTTGAAGAACCCTTGAAGAACAAATGGTCTAGCCTCCTTCTTTGGATCAAAACCAGTCCAAAACTCAAGAAACAACTCCTCCAAGTCCCTCAATCTCGGAGTAAGGTGTAATGGTGTGTGTAATGGTGCAAAAGTAAGGTAAAACACACCATTTGAGCTAAAAAACACACACAAAGGAGGAGAGAGGGGAAGGTATAGAGATAATATGTATCTATATTGCTAAGGGCTGGTTTTTGCTTCTGTTTTTCTAACCTAGAACCAAGAGGAAAGCCCCTCTCTTATAGAACTCCCTCTTGCCAAGCTTATACAACAAGCTTGGCTAGAGGGAAATCCCTCCATACACGTGTATGGAGGGGGGAAGAGTTGGTGCCAGCTATCACAGCTGGCACAAAATATCTCCATAAAGTGGATGAACAGTGGTCGGCTGCCCAAAAATGCTATTTCGGCAAAAAACAGTGCCGACCGGCAACAAACTATGCCGACCGGCATTAAAATATGCCGACCGGCAAACAAAAGTGCCGATGGCAGAAAAAGACCAGCCGGTGGCCTCCAGCCACTGCCGGTGGTGTGTGGGGATGCCTTACATGGCATTCCCTGCCCCTCAAAGGCAAGATGCAAGTGTTTGGTGCAAAACCAGACACTAAACGGTTGAGTTCGGAGATTCTGAGGCAGGGCACGCGAGCCGAGACCTCCGGGAACTCCAAACGAACACAAACATGGATGATCACCGGGTGTTCAAACGGTGACGTCCAAGTCTTGAGGACGGTCAAAAATGGGGTGTCTACACCCTGCCAAAGCAATTTGGGATTTCTTGAGGGACCATTATCATACCACTGGCCATGCTCATCAATATCAACTATTGCAAACTCTTCATCACATGCGCCAGGCACCCGGTCAGTCTATCAATGAATTCTTATCCCAAATGTCGTCTGTTTGGGATTAGCTAGCTCTTTTTGAGCCTACATGGGCATATTCTGAGGATGCATAGCTGTTTATTACTTATCGGAATCATCAGCGACTATTACAATTTCTTATGGCTCTCCATAGCGCTTTTGAACCCGTATGTGCTTCATTGCTCCATCGTTTGCCCTTGCCCACTTTAAAGCAAGCCATTACTGAACTTTTATTACAGGAGACTCGTTTTGGGACTCTTAAATCTCAGAATATGGATTCTGTTCTTGCTACGCCATCATCCTAAAGTTCCTCATCGTCACTGCCTGCTAGTTCATGCCAGTATTGTCTCAACTGTGGCCGGCCTGCCACTCACTCTTTTGTTCACTGCCCAGTTCGTGAATGCTTTACTTGCCATAAGACTGCTCCTGGTCATCTCCAACGTCGTTGCCCTCGAGCCTCTTCTAAGCAAGGGTCTCCTTATTTTGGGTATCAGTCCAAATCTGGCCAAGGTTCTCGCTCTGCTGCTGTTGCCTCTGAGGGTTCCTCTCCTCCCTACTTCGCTGCTTCCGCTACTTCTTCATTCTCTATAGATGATGTTGAGTCCCTCATCCAACAGGTGCTTGCCAAAATTGGTACTCCTCCCTCTACTGGTCTTTCAATGACTACAGGTAATTCTCCTTGGTGTTTTGATTCCGCATGCTGTAATCATATGACTTCTAACTCCACTATGTTTTATTCTATATCATCATCATCTTCTGTCCCCATCAGCCACACTGTTGATGGTTCTCATATGATTGTTCATCACACTGGTTATATTTCTACTTCTACTGTGTCTCTTTCGGATGCTTATCACATTCATGCTCTTCACTTGAACCTTATCTCTGTTGGTCAGTTATGTGAACTTGGTCTAACCGTTACCTTTTCTGCTAATGGTTGTTTGGTGCAGGACCCTTAGACGAGACAGATCCTTGGGATAGGCCGTAAGCATGGACGTCTGTTCGAGTTTACCCATCTTCACATTCTCCACAAATCATCTACTGCTGCTCCCATTGTTTCCTCTACTGCATCTACTTCTGCTTTATCTTATTTACGGCTTTAGCATTGCCGCTTAGGACATGTCTCTTTTAGTCGTTTGAAAACTTTAGTTTCTAGTGGTCAGTTAGGTCGTGTCCGTCTTGACGATGTCGATTGTTTATCTTGTCAAATTGCTAAACAACCTACTTTATCTTTTAATAATAGTACTTCTATGTCTATTGCTCCCTTTGATCTTGTGCATTCAAATATTTGGAGACTATCCCCCACACCAACCATGGGGGGGTCAAGATATTTTGTGATTTTTGTTGATGATTTTTCTCGTTATACTTGACTTTTTCTTCTCAAAAATCGATCTGAACTTAAACAGATTTATTATGATTTCTTTGCCATGGTCCGTACTTAGTTTTGTCGTACTATTAAAATCTTTCGTTCTGATAATGCTCAAGAGTACTTGGATTCTGAATTTCTGTCTTTTCTTCGGGCTAATGGTACACTCTCCCATTGCTCTTGTGCTGGCACATCCCAACAAAATGGACTCGCCGAAAGGAAGCATCGTCATATTCTAGACACTACTGGGGCTCTTCTCATCTCCTTTTCTTGTCCTGAACAGTTTTGGCGGGAAGCTGCCCTTACTGCCATCCACACCATAAATCGTGTCCCTACACCTGTCGTAGCTAATACTTCCCTTTACGAGCGCTTGTATGGTTCTTCTCCTGACTACGCCACTCTTAAAGTTTTTGGTTTTACTTGTTTTATTCTACTTCAGCCTCATGAACGCACTAAACTAGAACCTTGCTATCGTCTTTGCTATTTTCTGGGGTATGGTATAGAACATAAAGGGTATCGTTGTTGGGATCCTATGTCCAAGCGACTTCGTATTTCCCGTCATGTGGTCTTCTGGGAACACAAAATGTTTTCAACCCTTTCCAAGTTCCACTTACCACAGTCCACCCACTTACCATTCTTTACTAATCTCTCTATAGACCTGTTTTCTGATAACTTTGATGCAGATTCTGACTCCATGATTCCATAGCCGCCTGCGCCTATTGTTCATCCTGAGGATCCTGTGTCTCCTGATGGCCCTACACCTTCTCCTGTTGAGGTTCCTTCTCTACCAGAGCGTCATTCCACATGGGTACAACAACCTTCTGTTATTCTCCGTGATTATATTGTTGGTTCCACTGCCTTTTCCTCTCATGAACCTACTTCCTATCAAGAGGCTTGTTCTAACCCTCTTTGGCAACAATCTATGACTGATGAATTGCAGGCTTTCGATAAAACTCATACCTAGGATGTGGTTGATCTTCCTCCTGGCAAGAGTGCTGTTAGTTGCAAATGGGTTTAGAAGCTCAAAACTCATTTTGATGGTTCCATTGAGCGTTACAAAGCTCGCCTTGTCGCCCGAGGGTTTTCTCAAGAATATGGCATTGACTATGAAGAAACCTTTGCTCCTGTTGCTCGCCTTACTTCTGTTCGCAGCTTACTTGCAGTGGCTGCTGCTCGCCACTGGAGTCTTTATCAGATGGATGTCAAGAATGCATTCCTCAATGGTGATCTCACTGAGGAAGTTTATATGCAACCTCCTCCTAGTTCTTCTGTTCCATCAAACAAAGTTTGCCAACTTCATCGTGCTTTGTATGGTTTAAAGTAAGCTCCGCGTGCCTGGTTTGCCAAGTTCAACTCTACCATTCGTGACTTTGGTTTTTCCTCCAGTGCCCATGATTCTGCTTTATTTATACGTAAGACGGAGCGTGGTACTATTCTCCTTCTCTTCTATGTGGATGATATGATTATCACTGGAGATGACCCCACGGGTATTTTCAATCTCCAACAATTTCTTTATCGCCAGTTTGAGATAAAAGATTTGGGTTTGCTTAGCTATTTCCTTGGTTTGGAAATTTCTCAAGATTCATCTGGTTACTTTCTTACCCAGGCCAAGCATACTTCTGATCTCTTGGCTCGTGCTGGCCTTACTGATTGCAAGACTGCCACTACTCCTATTGATCCTCAGACTCGTCTTACACCTCTTGAAGGTTCCCTATTGTCTGATGCCACCAAATATTGTCAACTAGTTGGCAGACTTGTCTATCTCACGGTTACTCATCCAGATATTGTTTATGCTGTTCACATCGTTAGTCAATTCATGGTTGGCCCCCGTTCTCCACACTATAATACTCTGATTCGCATTTTGCGCTATCTTAAAGGCACTCTATTTCATGGTCTTCACTACTCCGCCCAGTCTTCTCTACAGCTCCATGCTTTTTCTGATGCAGATTGGGCCGGAGATCCTACTGACCGTCGTTCTACTACTGGGTTTTGCTTCTTCTTAGACAACTATCTTATTGCTTGGCGTAGTAAGAAGCAAACTCTTGTTGCACGTTCTAGTACCGAAACTGAGTATCGTGCACTTGCTGACACTACTCAGGAGCTTGTGTGGCTTCGTTGGCTTCTTTCTGATATGGGAGCTTCTCATTTTGTTTCCACCAATCTATATTGTGACAACCAGAGTGCTATTCAGATTGCACATAATGATGTCTTCCATGATCGCACCAAGCATATTGAGATAGACTGCCACTTCATACGCTAACATGTTACTAAGGGCACTGTTCGTCTTCACTTTGTTACCTCCGCTGATCAGACCGCCGATCTCTTCACCAAAGCTCATCTTCTAGGACGCTTCTCTGATCTCCTCACCAAGCTCAAGTTGCTATCTGCCTTACTACCTTGAGCTTGAAGGGGGGTGTTAGCAGTCATCTATTCCTATTATACTTAGGATTCTTGTATTCCTATACACCTAGGTTTCTTAGGATTCTTGTATTCCTATACCCCTATTGTATTGATTCATTGAATATATAATACATATTATTTCTCTCTCTCTCTCTCTCTCTACTATCATAACAGATTGGTTCACTGGTTTAACTGAGATTTTAGCAGTTTTATCAAAATATATTTGTTGGATTTGCTTGATTCGAAATAAACTAAAGATTGACTTGACTAAAGATTAAACGACTGATTGTTTGATTAGAAATAAAGTTTCTGTCCAAACAATTGTTAACTTTTATTTTACAATCTCATATCGAGAAAATAAGGAAAAAGTGAGTTGTTTCAATTATATAAAATGATCCTTATGTTCATATCAATAGGGCAAATTACACTAACAGTCCCTATAGTTTGGGACTCGTGTCATTTTGGTCCCTGACTTTTCAATTGCGACACATTTGACTCTGAATTTTGAATCTTGTTCTAAATAAGGACAATTGAAGATACCATCGTTTAATTTTAAGGGCAAAATCGTCAATTTAATAAAATATAAACTAATTTGACAAAAATAAATGTCAAACAAATATTTTTAATTTTTAAAAAATTATTTTTATCCATCAATGATAAAATTATGTAAAATTGATAAAAATTAATAAAAATTACATGATTAATTTTTAAAAATTAATTTTACATGATCAACATTCAAATACATAATAAAAATTAATTTGGTAAAAAAATAAATAACTGTTTAAAAGATTTATCAATTTTACATAATTTTATTTTTAGTGGGTAGAAATCATTTTTAAAAATTCAAAAATATTTGTTTGATATTTATTTTTGCCAAATTAGTTTATATTTTATCAAATTGATGATTTTACCCTTGAAAAATCTAATGATATCTTCAATTGTCCTTATTTGGAAGAAGATTCAAAATTTAGGGTCAAATGTGTCAAAATTGAAAAGTCAGGAACCAAATTTAGGGTCAAATGTGTCAATATTGTAGTGTTGTGCATGTTTCAGTTGAAGGCAGTTTAAATTAATTAATTTTTATATAAGTTGGTTGGTCTTTTGACCTAACCGATTGAACTGAACCGTTTTTGGTTTAACTGATTCGCTGGTTTAATCACGATCTTAACAGTTTCATCAAAATATATTGGTTAGATTTGTTTGATTCGAAATAAATTAAAAATTTATCTAATTAAAGATTAAATGATTGATATTATTTGATTCGAAATAAACTTTCTACCCAAACAATTGTTAATTTTTATTTTATACAATCTCATATCAGGAAAAGAAGGAAAAAATGAGTTATTATAATTATATAAAGTAAACATATGTTCCCATTTAATATTGAAGTATTGTGCATGTTTCAATTGAAAACAGTTTAAATTTTAAAATAAAATAAGATTTAAAAGTTTTAATTAATTAATTTTTGTATAAGTTGGTTAGTCTTTTGATCGATTTTAACGATTTTATTAATATATATTGTTTTATTTCTAAAAGGTATGTTTAAGTTTTATGACAAATTTTAACATAGAATAAACTAAAACTAAAAAATTTATAAAATAAAATTTATTTTTATTTTATCATAAATATAATTTTTTGTAATTTATTCTATTTTTTTCATCTTTACTAATTATTTTTATTTTATGACATCTATTTTTTTATTGTGAACTTAAAATATACAATTAATGACATAACAACTACAACATATATATACATATATTGTAATAAAATGGTTAAAATTTAATTCATTCTAAATTATTTTTCTACACTTTTTAAATAAATTTTATGTTATTATTTAATTCTAAAATTATTTTAATTATTTATTTAACCTGTGCATCGCACGGTTCATTATGCTAGTATAGAAAAGTAAGGAATATTTTCGATGATTCAAATATGTACATTATTCATAAAAAAAAATTAAATTGATTGATAATAATAATTTTTATTTTATCACGTTTGTCTTAAAAAAATTGAATGATTTATTTTTAAAAATATATTTATCGTCTATATTTTTTAAAATAGGACAGTAGTGAGTCCTATGAAAATTATATAAGGAAAAATGAGTTTCTATCCCACAAACCTTGTGAGGGCTCTAAGTTATCAACATGAATTTTCAAAATTTTTGTATTATTGTAAAAGCAAAAAAAGACATACCTTAACATGATTGGTTGATTAAATATTTTTCAATACCATTAATATCATCAATTTTTATTCCTAAATTAACTCCTTCAAATATTCAAAGAGTTAGCCTTATTGTGCAGCTATGTTATTGATACCATATATAGATACTCTCACTTTTTAAATTTATATTTCTAAATTAACTCGTAATTATTTTCAAATAGTAAAGAATTTATATTACAAAATCGTATTACTATTTTAGTATATTTGATTTTTTTTTAATTAGTAGTCTTCAAAATTTTTGGTGTTCTTTTAATTAATATAGGAAATTGTTAACATTCATATTTAATTTCATTGTACACTTACATATACTAATATTTATGTCTAAATTTTTAATTTTATAATGCATGTGGTGGGTGTGGAAAACAATTAAGTGTGTGTAATTAGAAACTCCTGTGATATTATTCCCATTCCTTAATAACTGTATATCTTAACTCCAAACTACTTTCAAATGGCAGAGAATTCATATTACAAAATCATATTAATATTTTAATATCTTTAATTTTTTTTTTTAAATTAGGGGCTTTCAAAATATTTGATCTTTAAATTAGGAGCACCTAATTCATTATTACAAATTATTTTTACTTTTGTATTTAGTCCAATCAAATTTTTAGGTTAGATCCAAGGTAGAACAAGGCACACTTTTTAAGTCGACCTAACATTGGATAGTTTTTTTTTATGGCAAGACAATTTTCTAAAATTTAGATCATTGGCATAAAAATTAATCCAAATTTGGCTTCTAAATTACTTTTGTATTTAATCCAACACTAACACTCTCAAATTAACTCATACCGTCACAACCTCAAAAACAAGTATATAAGTTAAAATATAAAATTTAAATTGATTATTTTCAATTATTTTTACGAATTAACCAATCAATTTTTTCAATCAAGTGCGAGATAGGACTAGAATAAGGCTTATATTTTAAGGCGACCCAGTTTTAGATAGTTTTAATTGATAATAATTTTAAATATAAATAAATAATTTTTTGCCCAAGTTTAATTTTTTTAAAATAAATATGCATATGCATATACATGTACATATATATTTTATTTTTGCTAGGGTTAATCGCACCGAGGCCCCTCAACTATTAATTAATATTGCCTTTTCTCCCTCATTTATGAACCTGTACATATTAACTCATTCAACTATGAAAATCATACAAATACACTATTTTTGGAGGTGGTCTGGAGAGGTGAAAGTGTTAACATTTTTATAATTAAGAAAATCAATATGTACAAATTCATTGATGAGGGAAGATAAAATAATATTGGGTAAATTATGCAAATGGTCCATGTAGTTTACACAATTTGTCAATTTGGTCTCTGTTGTTTTAATTTACTCGATTTTGCCCCTTAATTTAACAGATTATGTCATTTTAGTCCAATAAATAACGGTTGTTAAGTTTGGTGGACGAAAAATCTACACAATATATCAATTTGGTCCCTGTTGTTTTAATTTGGGAAAAATTACTCATAAATCCCATTTTGATATATGTTAATCTAGTTAGTCCTAAGTGTTTTTTCTTAAACCATTTAGTCCTTTTTATTTTGGGTATGATATATTTGTTTGATATATTCTGTATGGAGTTTACATTTTTGCCCATGTTGGGATTTCATTTTCATTTTTGTCATGATGTGGGTGTTTAAGGGATGTTGTAACATTACTATTTTGTATGAGGGGATTTCATGGACTCTTATGGAAGTTGTTTCACCGTTTCCCAATGTGGTGGTTAGTTTGTAATGTTATGTTTGGTGTGTGGTGTTGATCGATTTTTGGGTAAGCGATTGACGTTTTGTGCATATTTGTAAACACTCCATTTTTGATGGCCTTTCAAGACTTGGGTGCTCTTGCAGGTACATCCGGTGACGAGTCTGATTGCTCATCGAGTGCTCAAAGTCCTTAGCGGAACACCACAGGTTTGAGCCTTTCAAACCCTGCATCCATTTTTGTCTCCTTTTTGGACCATGTCTTGGGCTTTATTCCCTGCAGTTTTTGGTGGCATGCTGGCCATTTATGAAGGCTGCCGGCCAGAGCTTCTGGTCTGCCGGCCATCACTGATGGCTAGCCGGCCACCAGTGTTTTCTGTAGATATTTTGTGCTAGCTGTGCCAGTTGGTTGCACAGATGCTTACATTTGTCCACACGTGAAGGGCTGGATCTCCTTGTATAGAATTCCTATTTTCTATATATAGGGAGGCCCCCTCTCATGTTTTAAGGTTGGAAGATTTAAGACTCAAAATTCTCTCTCTCTCTCTCTCTCTACATTTCTCTATCTCTTGAAATTTTGTGTTTGGTTGTTAGATACACTACACTTTTGCATATCAATCCTTAACCAAACTGATCACCTTTGAGTTGAGGTCCCTTGAGGTCTTGTTGGAGCTCTTGAAGGTGGTTTTGGCTTGCATTTGTGCCTAAAGTGGTGCTTGGCTTCAAGAGGTATAATACTTGTTTTGTAATTTGTTTTAGTATACTTGTTTCTCTATCTTTTTCCACTGTTTTGGGGGTACTTTTGAGCTGTAAAAATCTCTGT